TTCCTGTTTGTCTGCACTTATGTCAGACTCTCTGAAAAGGTAAATTATAAACCTGAATGTTCATAGCTTCAGTATAATTATGAGTGAATATATCTAAGTAGCATTGGGATCCTGTGAACAGACTACTGGTTGATCTGCCTTCGGATGGGATGCAAAAGAGAGCATTTGTATCAAGGGACTCTGTCAAGAGACTCAAACCTGAAGAGCAATGCCTCAATTTTGACCAAATTTAAGGGACTAAACATCCCTGGATTGATCCTCTGACTGTGCTCTGGTGGGTGGCCAACCACAGCTCTCAGCCAGACACCAACACATCTACATTCTAGCCAAAAAATTGAAAACTGGAATATGAAATTCATGTAGTCTGACTCTCTGGTGAAGCTGAATACTGTTTCCAGACTATGTCGTCTTTTGTCCAACATACAGCTCAGTGGACGTTGCAGCTGAATGCCAGGCCATTGCAAAAGGCTGTCACAGGAAACCATTTGCCATGATACTCTTTATTTTGCAGAATTCTTAATGGCTGAGTTTTAAAATGAAGACATTGAAAAATTGCTTACCCATGAGGTATTTTGCTGAGGACATAATATGCCGTATATGAATGCTGATACACCTGCAAAATGAAATTAAGGAAAAAAAAACAAAACAAAAATAGAGATTAGTAATTGTCGCCTGTGTTAATAGGGCTCTTTTTCTGCAAAAACAATCTAGCATTTATGGCTAGGGAGCTCTTATAAACACTTCAAAATCTGTGGTAGAAAAGAACAATACATTAATTCATCTATTGCTGTTGTGCGTTCTTTTCATTTTGCACTTTATTACAGTGTTTGGCAAATCATATACATCCAGATGCTCTCTGTCGTTACCATGACTACCAGGTCTTTGATTAAACTGGTCTCTGCAAGAGCTAAATATAGAACAATCATTAATGAGGACACCTTGGTCAGCTGGAGGCATTCTCCATCATTATAACTAGACACAACAGGGATATAATACATATTTTCTTTGTTTTAGTCCCACTTAAATAAAACAGGGAGTGATTTTGGGTGATCTCAGAGTGGGCTGTAAGACCCTGTCAGTCAGAAAATAAAACCTTATTGACTTAGGGTTTGAAGCTGACCTCATGTTTGTTTGACCTGACAAGCTGCATCTTCATATCAGTTTGCACTCTCTGGGCCTTGGGGAGGAGCTTGCCAGTTAGCACACCACGTCATCCCAGAAGGGAGAGTTTATTACTTATTTTCTAAGTAGTAAATAATAATGCCAGAGTCAAGGTCAGCGATTTAAGAGTCGGTGATTTTACGCTAGTCACAATGCAACCCCTAACAGTGATCTGTGGTTGCCCAAGGTGAGCAACATTGAGCAACACAAGAGTCAGGGCACTAGTGTGAAAGGTCTTAACATGAATGACTTTATACACATTTATACAGGCACTCACTTTTGCAATTCTGTCCTGTTACAGTATGCTACTAAGTAAATAAATACGTAAGTCTCCTAACAATAATTTCATTTGACTTCTACTTAAGTCTTTAAGCCACTTGCTCTCCAGTAGCTCTCACAAAGCATCCTGCCCCAGAGGACGAAGGACAAACTTCTCAAATACCTGTTTCACCAATCAAATTTGTCTGATCAAAGCTACATTTTTTAGCTACCTCCAGTTATGCACAACATTTTTTTTGTCCAAGAAACCATGAGATGCCCTGGATGGTGCTGCCAGCCTCACCAGCAATCATCCCAAGCTCCTTGCTAGCACCACAGACAAGTAAGGATGGCTTACTACCCACTACTCTTGAGGGGAGGCCTGTATAGTGGCGTCTAACAGGTTTACATCTTTTTGAGGCTCAGTAGAGGGGCAGATGAACACAAGACTCTTTAATATCCTATGGATATTAACACAGACTTCTCTGTTACAATTTGAATCCAAACACCGAATCCTTACAGTACTTTATGAATCTCTGAAAAAAAAAACTGCCACAAGAGCACAGAGTTGAAAGCACTAGATTTCTGCCTATAAAATGCAGAGGCTGATGCCACACTCATGTGATTCCCTTCTTCCCCTGTGCAATTCAATCCCTTCATTACAAGCACATCATCAGGTTACATCCCAAAATCATATCTCCTTTTAGGCATTCAGATACATAAAGACTCTGCCAGCAAGGTGAGCCTCTAATGTATGGTTGTCAGGGAAGGTCCAGGTGTACAAGCAAATTCAATGAAAGATAGCATTTATTTTAGTACAGGTGTCCTTTGTAGATCCACCTGTTTCAGATGATGTCAAATAAATTACCATTATCTCATCTACCTTCATAATACCAAAGAGCTCTTGAATATTATGGTGCTGATATTGCAGACCTGGCTGATGCATGTGGCTTTATATTTTATTCCAGCCATGCTGAAGTTCTAAAACTGCTAAAATTCCTTAAAAAGAATGCACTGGAAGACTAAATTTGTCTACATAGATGAAAAGAAAAAAAACATTGTCAATAAATATTGAGCAATTTTTGTCTTCAAATATCCTGGCAGTAGAACGTGGAGAATGATGTAGACATATAAAATGGGATCTGGGCAAGGACTGGTGTTCAAGTTCACAAGCCATGCTGTGAATGCACCAGAAGACTAAATTTGTCTACAGAGATGAAAAAACAAATAATACATTGTCAATAAATATTGAGCAATTTTTATCTTCAAATATCCTGGCAGTAGGATGTGGAAAATGATGCAGACATATAAAATAGGATCTGGGCAAGGAGTGCTGTTCAAGTTCACAAGCCATGCTGTGTTGTTAGCTATCAGAGGCAGAGGCAAAAGCCAGTCCCAAAATGAGTATGAACAGATGTCTTTGGGAGAAAACAGATAACTGTAGCAGGCTGAAGGGAAAAGAAACGGCCGGGGGGTTTTGAGCAGGACATCTGCTGATGATCCTGCTTGTGGTACAGAGTTCCCACAGCCTTGCTAGAGAGTTTAGAGCTGTCTTGGAGCCATTAATGGCTGCACGTGCAGCCCGAAAGTCCTTCTCATACCTACTATTTCAAACTTGTTTGGAAAACACACTGAAAAAACCCTCCTAAGCAGACAGGAATACAAGACAGACATCACAGTGTCTTTCTGAGAAATGAAATGACTGCCTTCCTCTTAGGTATGTAAGCCAAATGAAGTTAGTTTAACCTTTCGAGGGAATGACTGTGTCTCCTTAACATCTCAACTAAAATTTCTGCTTAGATCAAGCTGAGTTACACTGTTCACTTACCACAAGGAAAAACCCACACCAGGGAAAAGTACAGAAAAGAGCATTCTTCTGAAATCCAAAGCTAAGCCTCAGAGACCGGACAGTGCTTAAAAGTTACTATTCATTTCAATTAACCTCTCTGTTTCTGAGGTTTAGCCAACAAAAATAACTGTATTAACTCCATGTGTTCCCCATCTCTATCTGAGGGTTGTGGTAAAAGCCATTGCACTGATTTGGTGCTCTTACACCTGATTTTCGGCTAGATCCTGGAAGCATGCAGTCTCTCTTGGTAGAGAGTCATATTTGAAGGTAGAAGAGTTTTTGGCAGCCGTTTTGCTCTGTAGACCCTGTGTGCCAAGTCATTCTGCCAACATAAGTTAGAGCAGGTTTGGGACTGCTCTGAAGAGTTCTAGGGATTACTAAAATCGGGTCACAAAATCTCCCATGCCAGCTGTGACCTGTAACAGCCATTATACTGAAATCACTGTGCCAGAAACTGTCTCCCCCGCGCTTCTCTTCCCAGGTCCCAGCTCAGATCTTGCTTACATTCAATCTACATTATGTTCTGCAACATGTGCATGTTTACACTGATATCACAACAGATCTAAGACACAGACCTCTCTGTTTCCACTCAAGTCTTTGAAGGGCAACTATCTCTCTCAGAAAAATACAGGACGAATTGTATAGGACAACACTTTGTTGTGAAGCCACTGACTTCATTTTGTGTAATTAAAAAAAGAAACCTGGACCTGACCAGATGACAGCAGAAGACCATACATCTAGGCAGGCGCAATTCAGGAGGTTCCTACAGAGCATTGATGATAACTTTCTGATGCAAGTGGTGGAGGAACCTACAAGGAAAGGCGCGCTGCTGGACCTTGTATTAACAAACAAGGAGGGACTGGTGGAGGATGTGAAGGTCGGAGGTAGACTCGGCTGCAGCGACCATGAAATTGTCGAGTTCAGGATCCTGCGTGGAGGAAGCAGGGCGATAAGCAGGATCAAAACCTTGGACCTCAGGAGGGCTAACTTTGCCCTCTTCAAGGAGCTACTGGGAGGAATCCCGTGGGCCAGGGCTCTCGAAGGCAGGCCTGCAGAGAACGGGATCTCCCAGGGGCTCACATTGGCTTTGCTTGTGGAGAGAGAAAGAGCTGCAAAGAGCTGCCTGGGGAACCAGCCAGCCGTGCAGCCTAAGCTCTCCACAGCTTTGTGCAGGGACAGGCAAGATGCAGAGAGCTATGCCAGGGCAAAGAGAGTGGCAGATATCTGGGACTCATCACCTCAGCTGCAGCCGTGTCCAAGGGACAGCTAGCTAAAGACACCAGGGTCTGCACGACGTTGGCAGCGAGGGGTCCGAGACCAGCACAGCCACAGGCATCCTCCTGCTGTGTTGAGCATTATTCCCAGCAGTCAGGGTGTGTGTCAGCTTGGGGGTTATTTCGAAGCAGAGTGGTTTTTGACAGAGGAGGACAGTGTTTCATAAGAGTGAGCACTCAGGCTCTGCGTGCAGTAAGAGCGTACCAGCAATGTGCGGGTCCTACCACGCACCCATCACAGGGTCCGTAGCTGCACAGGCTCACTCAGGGCTGCCTGGAAGTTTCCAAAATGGGAGTGGAATCACAACCACGAGAAAGCTCAGTGACTAAAGAGGGGCCGGCGTGTGCCAGTAGCCTGCCCATGGCCACCAGAAAACAGCCAGCTGGCAACC